TCAGCCAGGTGGGCAGGGAGAAGAAAACCTGGGTATGAGATGGGGCAGAGTGAGGCCTGGTCAAAGCCTGAAGGCTCTCACTCCAGCCTGGCTGACACAGGGACCCGAGGAAGGGGCCGGTGCTCCTCACCTGACCTGAGACCTGGAGAACTAGAGGAGGAGGCCTGGTGAGGGCTGGAGGAGCTTTTGGCATGGATGCTTTTCACAACCACCAGGTGCACCAGCAGGTGAAGGGGAGCAGCGCCTAGCACCCCACACCAACCTCAGAGCATTCCTGCTTGACTTCTGCCTTCCAAACCAGAAGTACCTTTCTCTTGTAGCCAGCTGTTATCTGGAACTACAGAAGGTGAGAATTCTTAGCTACGCTGACACGCCTGGCTGGAACTATCACCCCCGACATCTTCCAAAGCTTGTACCTTACAGTTTCTGTTCCCAAGACCTATTGCCTTTGCACTGTCTGACCGCAGGTCCTAATTCCAAGGCTCAGACCATCCCCACCTGGTTCAGGTGCCCCTGTTTAGGTCAAACACTTCAGGACACAGGGGTCAGGGCAGAACAGGTGAGAAAATGACAGCTCCCACAGGCAGGCACCTAGGGAGGGGCAGTTTCTGTAGGAAGGGCAGGAAGGAAAAACTATGTGTCACCGTAGCTATTGCACACACACGCGTTAAGCTAGTAAAATAGGGATAACACGGGGGAGGAAAAAGCCTCGGGGGAGGAGCAATGAACTTGCTGACCATAATGTCAATGAAATTGCCCTTTGGGGGTACAACACATGGCTCTCTGCGTCCCAGAAGCCAAGGACCACACATAACTCCACAGCTCTCAGCATAAATGTGTGTGAGTGTCACTTCCTCACTCCATCACAGGCATCAGAGGGTGGGACCATGTGTAGCACAGCCTTGCACCCAGGCACTGCCTGTCACAGCAGGAAGCACAGTGGAGAGTTTCAAATGTGTGTTTTGGAGGCTTTTTGCGAGCAGCATATTCTCGCTACTCACCTCTGTCTCCCAAAGCAAGCATGGCGGCTTTCCTGGGTTCTTCCCTACAAGAGGTACCTCCTAGATTTCTGGTTAGCTCTCTCTGTAACTTCGCTCACCTTATTCATTTGCAAACATGGGTTTGGCACCAACTGTGCACCAGCATAGTCTCTTCCCTTAGGACTGACACTGGAGTCGGAGGGAGTGATACTGATCACCATCGTTCCAGTGTGTCTGCGGATCTGGACACTTGACACCTGGGGATGCCTGCACCCCATACTTTCACACATATTGGGCTGATATGTTTTAAAACTTCTCTCCACATCCCCTTTTCCAGTACTGGAAGCGTTTGCTGTTTTTTCTCCTGGGGATGAATGATTTCCCAGACTTAAGAAGAAGGCCCAGTGCCTGGGTCTGTGGGTTCTGTTCTGGAGTGGAGCCTGCTCAGTTTCAGATGAAGAAACTGGTTTCTGGTGCTGCTGTTTTGCTTCTTGCCATGTTCGGTCCCCTCAAATGCCAGCCAGACATCCGGCACGGGGCCGGTGAGGACTCTCTGCCAGGCACCTGGGAGTCTCCCTAATTATCCAGTGATCCTCCCAGCTTGTGACACCTCCAGTCTCCCAGAGATAGTTCAGGCTGAAAGACTGCATTGGAATGTGTGGGGAAGAAATGGCCCTTTGAATGTGTTCAAAGCCTCTGCGGCCTCTGGCTGGGGAAAGTCAAGGACAGTTGTGCTCAGCAAACTTCCTGGCGAGCCTGGCGAACCCTCACAGGGAAATGGGAAAATACTGGCAAGAGAGAACTTTGTCATTGTTCCCTGCATTTAAGCAGGAGGGAAAAGAAAGCAGCATGAAAGCATGTCTCTGGCAAGCATATCAAATTAAATGTCAAAAATATCCCAATGCTCATAACTCACCAGTGGCCGATGTCTGAAGTTACAGCTTCATGCATTTATCACAGACAGCACTTTGAAAGGGAAAGATCACGAGTTTTGATGTCAGAGCAGCTTGGCTTTGAATCCTGGCTATATTCCTGATTAGCTGAATGTGTCTGGATAGTATGTTTAACCTCTTCACACCTCAGTTTTTTTCTGTAAAATGGACTTCGTACACCCCACAGGAGACCACCATGAAGAATGTGAACATCAAGTTAGGGCTTAGAAGCCTTATTTGCTAACAATACCAAAATAGACATTCTAGGTTTATCGTGAGGGTTAATGAGATTATTTAAACAGATTTTTGTGGTTTTGTTCTTAGCTATATCCCTTGAACCTTGAACTTTGCACATAAAAGGCACTCAATAATTTGTTGAACAAATTAGCAAACAAATATATGAATGAAGAGGTGTTATTTCCCTCTCTAAACTCCTTTGCCTGTGACAGAAAATCCAAGTTTGCTAAACAGCAGCAGTGAAAAAACGTTGTGATTGTAATGGAACGTCTACCACTCCCCAAGCCCTCAGTCCACCCACCTGTTCAGCCTCTCCTACCTTTGCATTAGGGAAGGGCCAACATTCTTAGCCTTTTCCACCCCAAACAAGCCCTTCTTGTCTTTACACATTATGGGCCTTAGGTCTGTAATACCTGCTTCTTGTCCACCTGGGAAATTCTGATTCAGCTTCAAAGTCTAGTTTACATGTCACTTTTTCCGTGAGGACAGGGTGAAGGTGCTGGCAGTGGTGGTAATATTAGTTCTGGTGGTGATGGTGTGGTGGTGGTGAGAGTGGTGGTGGTTGTAAAGGTGATAATAGTTCTGGTGGTGTTGGTGGTGGTGAGAGTGGTGGTGGTTGTAAAGGTGATAATAATTCTGGTGGTGATGGTGGTGGTGGTAGTGGTGAGAGTGGTGGTAGTTGCTGAGAGTGGTGGTGGTTGTAAAGGTGATAATAGTTCTGGTGGTGGTGGTGGTGAGAGTGGTGGTGGTTGTAAAGGTGATAATAGTTCTGGTGGTGTTGGTGGTGGTGAGAGTGGTGGTGGTTGTAATGGTGATATTAATTCTGGTGGTGATGGTGGTGGTGGTAGTGGTGAGAGTGGTGGTAGTTGCAATGGTGATGATAGTTTTGGTGGTGATGGTAGTGCTGATTGTGGTGGTAATGAAGGTGGTGGTGATGGTGCTGCTCGTAGTAGTGATGGTGGAGATAATAGTTGTGATGGTGATGGTGGTGATGAGAATGGTGGTGGAGGTGGTGATGATGGTGATGATGGCGCTGTGGTGGTGATGATGAAGGTGGTGGTGGTGATTGAAGTAATAGTTGTTGTGGTGATGGTGATGTTGATGGAGTTGGTGGTGATGGTGGTGGTGATGGTGGTGGTGATGGTGATGGTGATGATGGAGGTGGTGGTGGTTATGGTGATGATGGAGCTGGAGGTGGTGATGCAGGTTGTGGTGAGGGTGGTGGTGATGATAATGGTGATAGTTGTCATAGTGATGGTTGTGTTGATGGAGGTGGTGGTGATGGTAGTGGTGGTGGTGATGGTGATAATTGGGGTGGTGGTGGCGGCGGTGGTGGTGGTGGTGATGGTGGTGATTATAGTTATGGTGGTTACAGTGGTGGTGATGGAAAGGATGATGATGGTGGTGATGGAGGTAGTGGTGGTGATGGTGGTGATTATAGTTATGGTGGTTACAGTGGTGGTGATGGAAAGGATGATGATGGTGGTGATGGAGGTAGTGGTGGTGATGGTGGTGATAATAGTTGTGGTGGTGATGGAGGTGGTGGCGCTGGTGATGGTGATGATGGAGCTGGAGGTGGTGATCATAGAGATGATGGTGGTGATGGAAGTGATGGTGGTGATGGAGGTGGTGGTGGTGCTGGTGTGGTGATAATAGTTGTGGTGATGGAGATGGCAGTGATGGTGGTGATCGAGGTGGTGGTAATGGTGGTGATGGAGGTGCTAGTGATGGTGATGATGGAGGTGGTGATGGTTATGGTAATGATGGAGATGATGGTGGTGATTGAGGTGGTAGTGATGGAGGTGGTGGTGGTGGTGGTGGTGGTGATGGTATTGATAATAACTGAGGCGGTGGTAGTGATGGTGGTGATTATAGTTATAGTGATGACAGTGGTGGCGATGGAGAGGCTGGTGATGGTGGTGCTGCTGATGGTGATGATGGAGGTGGTGGTGGTGACAGTGGTGATAATAGTTGTGGTGGTGATGGAGTTGATGGTGGTGGTGGTTGTGATGATGGTGCAGACACTGAACAAATCCTTACCCTAAGAATATTAAATAATAATTAATAATTAAATAATTATTAAATTATTTCTTTTTTGAACCATAGTTTTCATGTGGCCCCAAAGAGAAAGTTATTTATTGTATTCTCTTTCATCCTCTTAAAATTCAAACACATTTTAACCTTCAGGACTTCCAGCTTTGAACTCTTCTTGGTCGTCTATTCTATTCCTGAGTGAGAAAAAAGGCTTTGAAGGTCACCTTTGATAGACAAAGATATAGCAGGAGGAGATAACAGGTCATTCTGACAGTGAGACAGGGAATAGAAAATTGCTCTAGATGGCTGCTCTAGATGGAATCTCTTCTCTTGGCCTGCCTCTCCAATTCATTAATTCATTCCTCCATGTACGGGTTCTTACCGACTGCCCTCTCTGCACCTGGCACTGTGGCAGGTGCTGAGGACACAAGCCTAACCCAAGTTCCCCCAAGCTGCCACACGTGCAGGCCTCTCCTGGGGGAAGTGCAATGGCCTCACCTCCTCCACCTGGAATCCAGTGGGAGAAATGTCTGTGATTCATCTATGGCTTCACTGCCAGTTGGCTGATCTAGATAATTAGGTCCCTGCTGTGGTTTAAATATTCATTCCCTCTGAAACTCATGTTGAAACAATCCCTAATGTAACACTGTTAAGAGTCGGGGCCTTTAAGAGGTGATTGGGTTATGAGGGCTCTGCCCTCATGAATGGATTTGTCCATTCACAGATTAATGAATTAATGGGTTATTACAGGAGTGGGCTTTTTAATAGAAGTCAGTTTGGTTTTCAGTGTACCCCTCTCGCCCTGTGATGTCTTCTGCCAAGTTATGACGCAGGATGAGGCCCTCACAAGAAGCTGATCGGATGCGGCTACCTGATCTTGGACTTCCCAGCCCCTGGCTGTAAGAAAGAAATCTTTTTCATTTTTAAATTACCTTCTCAGGTATCCTGAATAGCAGCAGAAAATGGACTAAGACAGTCTCCAAACCCAGAAATTTAATAAAAGAAAAAAAAAACATGCACATAATTCCTCAATGGAACTGTTAATCTAGTAAAAGATTAAGTGACAGTCCAGAGGGCCCACAGTCTCCAGAATCTCTGGTGTGTGAGGCTTAGGCCTGGGAGGCAACCATTATCTTTCCCTAGTTGCAAGGAGGTGAGAGGGTAGGGAGAAGTAGGCAGGTGTAACCTGGGGGAGTACCAGCAGGCAGAAGCCCCTCTAGGACTTGAAATGCCACCTGACATGAGATCCAACCCCATTGCTCCCGCCCAGGGAGACCCACTGGAGACAGGTGGCATTGAGCCTGGCCACATCATCTCCAGGTTGGTGGTGCCACCTCCGATGGCCTTCCCCATTATTCCATCTCTAATCAGAAGGATAAAATGTGCCAGCAGCTCTGTCTCCCACCCTGGAAGGACAGCAATGACCATCAGGGGTTTTCTTAGAAGATGAAAGCTCTGCTTTGTCTCTGGTGACTGTGGTAGAAGACAGATTTTTCTGTCACCTTGTGGGTGACTTGTGATCCTGTTTCCTTAATGTCCTTCCCAGTGGTTTCTAAAGAGATGCCCTATGCCAAAATTCTCTTGAACTCTGCATCTCTTTTCTTTAAATGGGACTTTGATTCTAGAACAGTTGCATAACATGATGTTCTGCAGAAGCCCAGCCTCCCATCTGCATGCCCTGCCTTGGGCTGCCCTGTTCCAGTTTCCTAAGCAGACCCTGTTTTACTCTGCTTCCCTGCTGTGTCTTAAAAGAGAATGCAATGGCCTTGCTGGGAAAGAGCTTCTTTTCTCACAAAGTCTGTCCTCAGATAGGCTGTCTGTGGCCCATCATCCAGGACCCACTCTATGTGGATCTGTGGGCCTCCACCTACCCTTCCAGGAATGTCCACACTGCAGCTAAGCTTTGCACATCCCTTCTCATAAATATCAAGAGGCGGCTCGCCACCCCAGGGCTGCCTCCATTCCAGCTTCCTATATCCACACAAAACAAACTCTTCTACTCAAACTCCACCACCTCACAAAAGCCTCCCTGGATTTTTTTCAGAGTTAGAAGAGGCCACACCCTTCTCTCTTTCCCACAGTGCTTGTCCTGTGTGCTTCCTGTGATAAGGACCACGGGCTGTTTGTGGACTCATCATTTGTTCTCTATCCTGGTTTCAGTCCATGACCCTGTGGATCTGTGTGTCCAGCTTGGGTTTGGAAGGAGTGGAGATGAACCCCCTTCAGCCACGGGGAGTGTGGTTGGGCTGCCTGCTCCTTCAGGGTCTGCCCTTCCCGGGGCAGGCATCACCCAGGGGCTGAGCAAGATGAGAGTCAATGTCCAGCCATTTGAGCCAAACAGGGAACTCAACTGAGCAGCACTCTCATGCTGAGGAGTGAGTAGGCCAAAGCTTTGCAGGCTGGCCTTGCAGCTCAGCTTCTCCGCCTGCTCCACCCTTAGGTGGGGATCCCTGACAAACATCTCGTACCCCAAACGCCATCCCAGCCTCTGCTTCCAGAGAGCCCAGCTGGCTATATGGGCTTTCTCCATTTATTCTTCCTTCCACGAATAACAATTAAGCACTGACTGTGTGCTGCATTGCACTGGGCAGTGGAGACCCAGCAGCAAACAATGTGGGATGCACAGACTAGAATGGTGAGAAAGGCTAGAACAAGCAATACTCACAGGCTAGAAGCGAGTAATGAATGATGATGGCAAATGTTACAGGAACAGACAGGGTGATTGGACAGAGAGTAACTTGGAGGCAACTTTCCGTGTTGCAGAAAAGTTTCTCTGAGGAGATGTTTGTTCTGAGTCCTGAAGGTTGAGGAGCCAGACACGGGAAGAACTCTTCTCCTGGCCCTGTATGCCCAGCTGCCACCTGGGTGCCTCCCCAAATGCCCTCAGCCCGAGTAGCCCCAGGTAGACTCCCCTGTCCCCAATCCTTACTACCACTCCTGTGCCTGGGTTTATGATCTTAGTGGATGCCACCCAGATCCTTGGTCATCACCCTAACCCCTCCCTCTCCCTCAGCACCAGGTCCTGATGCCACCTGTCCTTGAGGTGACCACACCTCCCAAGCTGATTGTGAGGGCCTGGTTTGGGCAGGCCCTCAGCACTGTCACCAGCTGTTGCAATACTCACCCGACAGGTGGCCCTTCTTCAGGTTCAGTGTCCTGTGCCATACTCCACCCTCACCTGCTCACAGAACTAAGCACTCCGAGCTCTGGGATCGCGTGTCCCCTGCAGCATCAGTGTGTTGCGAGGAGCACAGGCTGGTAGGCTAACACAACAGACACCTGTTCTGGAGGGTGGAAGTCCGAGAGCAAGGTGTGGGCAGGGCCGCGCTCCCTCCAAGACTCTGGGTAGAACCCTTCCTTGCCTCTTTCCAGCCTATGGTGGTGACGACAATGCCTGGTGCTCCTCAAATGGTGGCTGCATCTGTCCAATATCTGCTTCTGCCATCACGTGGCCGTATTCATGTCATCTCCCTCTGTGCACTTCTGTCTCTGTGTTCAAATTTCCCCTCTTTGGAAAGATAGCAGTCACAATGACTTCATTTTAACTTTACCTCTGTAAAGAATCTATTTCCAAATACGATCACATTCGGAGATGCTGGGGATTAGGAACTCAACCCCTCTTTTATTTGGAGGAGACACATCTCAGTTCCTAACACCTGTTATGCCTTCATCCTAGTCTCACTCACATGTTAGCAGAGTATTTTCTAAAAAGGCCACCTCCCCTCTCCTACCCCCATCCCAAAACCCAGTTCTGTCCTTTTCAATGTTTGATTTTGCAGCGCAACCATTTTTTCAAAGATAATTTTACATGGAGCCCCAGTAAAACAAGCACAAACAAAGCAGAGGTGCTCTCTGATTACAGGGCAGGCTGTGAAGGGTTGGAGGGAACACCCCACCCATCCTGCCATGGCACCTGACTGCCTGGCCTCTGAGGAAGCTGTGGGTCACCGTGTAGAAGCCCTGGCTGGAGTATGACCCCCCTGGAGCTGCTCCTAGGTCTGGAACCTGGGGAGTCCAGGCCACCCCCTCACTTTCTCAGGCCTCTGCCTGAATGCTAGCTTCAGAGATGTCTCCCATGATGACCTATGGTATGTAACAAATAGCACATAATCCCCTACCTCTACCCCTTGTTCCTGCCTTATTTTTCCCCCTAGCACTTATCACCATATTTGTTTATCTGCTTATTGTCTGTCTCCTCCATGGACTAGAATGTAATCTCCGCAGGGAAAGATGTTTCCTTGCTGTTCTTCCAGGGCTTAGAACAGTGCTTGACTTGAGGTGGATGATCAAGAAATAGTTGTTGGGAGGATGATTACACAAACTTTTTTTTTTTTTTTTGAGATGGAGTCTCGCTTTGTCGCCCAGGCTGGAGTGCAGTGGCCATGATCTGGGCTCACCGCAAGCTCCGCCTCCCAGGTTCACGCCACTCTCCTGCCTCAGCCTCCCCTGTAGCTAGGACTACAGGCGCCTGCCACCGCGCCTGGCTAATTTTTGTATTTTTAGTAGAGACGGGGTTTCACCGTGTTAGCCAGGATGGTCTCGATCTCCTGACCTCGGCCTCCCAAAGTGCTGGGATTACAGGCATGAGCCACCGTGCCCGGCCTCACAAACTTTTTCTTCAACAGCTTTATTGAGGAATAATTCACATTCTAAACCATGAAAGGGCACGATTCTGTGTATGTGTAGATACACAATTTAGCATATTCATAAAGGTCTGTGAAACACAACAGATCATTGGCATGGTCTCTTTCTCTAGATGACACCAGGCAAAAGAATATTGTTGTTGCCAGCAGAACAGTGTATTACACATACTCATTCATGGAAAAGAGAAAATCAGGGGTTTGAATGAGGAGACACACATGGACATGGAGTTTCCGTAGATATTATTTTTCTGCTTTTATTTTATGAGAAAATATAGATATTACACTAAGAAGCTGAGGAATGTGCATATACTGACCCCTTACGAACAGATATTAAAAGTTGTTATTTCATAAAATACCGCAAGTTCACTGAATTTTAAAAATTAAGCAGTGATAGTTGATACCTATTGTTTTTGTTGGCTGATGACCCCCTTAATAGAAAACTTTCAATTTTCCATCCACTGGATCTTTACTATGGCAGCTGCTACCATGGTACAATGTATCCCCAACCTCTATATGTGATTGATCTAAGTGATTGACCCGAGATGGGTCAATTAGCCTCCTTCTTGAGGAATTTGGACTCCGAGTTAAGGGATGCTTAGTGCGACTGCTCTCTGAAATGAAAGAGATATAAATTTGGAGCTCTTGATGGCTTCATCCTGCCATGTGGACTAAGAACGGGATAAAAATCAGTTGGTAGCAATAGAGAAAAACAAAACAATGAAAAAAGTATAAAAGGTTGTGAGAAGGAGAAGATGAAGGAAGAGAGCTGGATTGCATCACTATTCATTTGTTCTAGGAGACCCCCCCTTGGGCCACAGTTGGCTTCTTACCATCCAAAGAAACTTACTTAAGGAAAGCATCAAACAAATGAAATATATGTAATTAAATTTGACAATAGTGAAGAGGATCATTTGCATCATGAAGTTTCCTGGAAGGTTTTTTCTCCTCTCTAAATTATTCCCTGTTTTCTGTGATCTCTCCAAGTCTCCATCTCAGGCTGCAAAGGAAAGGGCCTTTGGGAAAGGTGTTCTTCACCCAGGCACTCCCACTCCAAGCCCCTATGGCCCACAAGGCAAGACTTAGCTTAGCCAAAGGCACTCTGTTTCTGCTGCATCTCTCCATCCTGAGTTTCTGCCTCCAACTGAAACATAAATCCTCCAGGGAAATATTGTTTCAGGCTGCCTGGTGGTAGTAGAGCCCCAGGGCCTCTGAGCCCTGACCTGGGCATGACCAAACTTAAGCCATGACACTCTC